CGCGGGCGCCCTCTACCGGCCACCGGCTGCTGCACAGCGTCCCGCGGCCCCAGGGCGCTAGGTCTGCGCTTAGCCCCAGTCCGCGGGAGCGCAGATGGGTTGGTGACCCTCAGTTCCACTCGACTGTTGATCCTCTTCTAGATTTCTTCCCAAGAGAGTCAAAGTCAGCACCGTATGCGCTCCCATCTGTATAGCGACACGATTTATAGCTAAATCCTGCCCATCGCCTGATAAATGGAAAGAGAAATGCGGTGCAGCGGTTATATACAATGGAGTACTACTCTGCAGTGAAAAATACCCTTTAGGTAAATGGATGCACCTCGAAACTATAATTTTTGGCTGGGATGTAGCTCAGTGGCTCCGCATTTGCCTCACAAGCACAAAGTCCTGAGTTCAGTCCCCGGTACCAAATCATCATCATCATCATCATCATCATCATCTTAAGTGAAATAAGTCAGACACACGAGTTTAAATATTACATTGTGAGAAGCTGAAAGTATAAATAAGGAGCAAAATGGAGGACAGAGATCAGAAAGTAAGAAGTTTTTCAAATGGAAATCGGAACGAGGGGAGGGAGGGAGAGAGAAGAAAGGGAGAGATTTAAAGAAAAAAGAATTGAACAATAGCAATAGAGTTTTTGCAAATGCAGAGGGAAAAAAGCTGGACGAGGGGCGGGGAAGGGGACTCAGAAAAAAGAAGATGTGCTCTGAGTGTTGCCGCTATGGCTGCAAACGTGCCAGTAAAAGGACTGTCGTGCCCACGTCGCAAAGTCCCCAAAGACCACCAAGGTCCGATGCAATTGCAAGAGGAGTTTATTGCAAGCTCGAGCCTGGACCCTCGGGTGTCACCGTCACAGTGGCTTCGGACCGAGAGCCCAGATCCATCTTTGAAGAGGGTCTACGGAGGGTCAAGGAAACTTTCCCTTTTATAGGTTCTATTTTTCGCTCTCGCTTATTATTGGATATTTGAGGGGTACTGGGAGGGCACTTACTGGAAAATTACTAATTCCTACCTTCACAGAATCAATTCCACTTTTTAAAGAACATCTGATTTTGTAAGCAAGGATATCAGCAGGTGGCTACCTATGTCAGCCATGACTAATACCTATATTGGCTAAATCAAATTATCTTAAGCAGGGAGAATTCATCTTTGGATCATAAAAAGAGGAACAGAAACAGGGTGGAGATGCCCTAAGTCAGCTTGCCCTAAAAAGAGGAAAAGAAACACAGGGAGACTGTCATACACAATGGAATTTTACAGACTGGAATTTTTGCAGCTCTGTCCTGGGCAAGGGGCACAGAGGGAGCCCACCTTGACCTGAGAACGTGGTCCTTATAGGACTACGGAACACCTGTAACCTGTCTGTTCGCAATGTTTTACATTGATGATGTGATGTTTGAATATACTGGGTTAAATAAGTTAGACTTTTTTTTCTTATTTGGTCTTTTCAGACAGGGTCTCGCTGTGTAGCCCAGGCTGGCCTTGACCTTGTGGTGATCCGCCTGCCTCTGCCTCCCGAGTGCTGGGATTATAGGCCTGCGCCACCACATCCGGCCAAGATACAGTCTTAAAATCAATTTCACCTGCTCCTTTTCTTGCCTTCTTAGTGCAGAGCCTAAGAGATTTTTAAACGACATACTATATTTCTCCATTTCTCCCGGTCCGACCTCGGCCGCTGCCTTGGCTGATTTGCACTGCTGTAACTCCTGGGCGAGTGTGAGCAGGGGGCCCGGGTCTCTGGGTTCTGGGGGCACGGACGGAGCCACCGGGAAGGGGGCGTCGCTCCCAGCCCGTCCAGCGCTGCGGACACTGTCGGGGCCGCAGCCCGATT